TTGCTATGCTTGAGGCCACTGTTGCAGCCACTGTGTTATCCATCTCAAGGGTCTTCCTCTTTTTCACTGGCCCTCCACTTTACTAAGCATAATGTCCTTCTCCAGGGACTGGTCCCTGCTCACAGCATTTCCAAAGTATGTGACACAAAGTGGACTGCTATATATTTGATATTTAGCCTTACTTTAGTGCAAGAAAATGCTCAAAGACTTTTCAATGATTTAAAAGCTACCTGTGCAAGTGAAGGTGATTGTGATAATGAATTTGTTCCAAGGAATTAGTTCAATTGTTTCAAAGTGAGGGCAAATATACATAACATTAAAAGGCAATCGGAAGACTGGGTAATCTACTTCTGTAGAGATACTGCCTTGGAAACCCAACGAGGGGTCGGGGTCGTCGCTATGAGTCACTACTCTTGGTTTTTTAAAAGGCACGTAGGACTTGTTCCTTCCTAACCCAGGACTGCCTATGTGTTAATTGCACCACTATCTCCAGGATTTTTCTCTTCCTCAGCTGTACCATCCAATCAGTTGCCAAGATCTGTAGGTTCCGTAAGATTATATAGAGTCCATTATCCTAAATTAATCATTCATTCTTGTTTCATGTAACTGAATTTAGTAATGTAACTGATTTCCATTTCTTCAACAATCCCTAGCCTGATGTGACAAAGACTCCCTTTTTCAAGACTATCTTCTCTAGGAAGTCATCTCTTTTCTCTGAATTCCCATAATTTCATCCATATCAGTAAGAATAACAAAGGAGATACAAAGCAAAATAATAATGGGATTGTTGCTGTTGTTGTTAGGTGCCATCAAGTCTTCAACTCATAGCGACCCTATGTACAGCAGAACAAAACACTGCCCAGTCCTGTGCCAATCTCACAATCTATACCCAAGCCTATCACTGCAGCCACCATGTCAATCCACCTTGTTGAGAGCCTTCCCCTCTTTCGTTGACCCTCCACTTTACAAGGCATGACATTCTTCTCCAGAAAATGGTCCCTTCTGACAACATGACCAAAGTAGGTGAGACAAAGTCTGGCCATTCTCGTTCCATTGAGCATTCCACCTGCATTTTTTTCCAGGACAAGACTTGTTAGTTCTTTTAGCAGTCCATGGTACTTTCAGCATTCTTCTCCAGCACCACAACTCAAAAGCATCGATTCTTCTTCGGTCTTTATTCATTGTCCAGCTCTCACATGCATATGAGGGAACTAAAAATACCACGGCTTAAGCCTTCAAGGAGACATCTTTGCTCTTCAGCACTTGAAAGAGGTCTTTTTGCAACAGATTTGCCCAATGCCATATGTCTTTTGATGTCTTGACTGCTGCTTCCATTGGCGTAGACTGTAGAACCAAGTAGTATGAAGTCTCTGACAACTTCAATCTTTTCTCCATCTATTGTGATGCTGCTTATTAGTCCAGTTGTGAGGATTTTTGTTTTCTTTATATTGAGATGTAATCCATACTGCAGATTGCAGTCTTCA